GGCATGACGACGAACTCGTAATGGCCGTAACGAGTCCTGAAAGCGGTCTTAGCGATGTCTGATTCCTTAATGTTTAGCTGGTGGTAGCCTGATCGTAAATCAATCTTTGAGAATACACAGGCTCCCCTCAACTGATCAAATAAGTCATCAATCCTGGGAAGCGGGTACTTGTTCTTGATCGTCAACCGGTTAAGATCCCGGTAGTCGATACACATGCGCATGGATCCGTCCTTCTTCTTAACAAAGAGAACGGGTGCTCCCAAAGGTGACACGCTCGGTCGGAGGAAACCGAGTCGTAACAGCTCCTGAATCTGCACCTTAAGCTCCTGCAACTCCTTAGGCGCCATACGGTATGGGGCTTTGGACACTGGACCGGCTCCTGGAATGAGATCGATAGAGAATTCCATCTGCCGGTTAGGGCGGTCCTCCTGGAAGTTCGTCTGGGAATACGTCCACAAACTCTCGAACGACTGGAACATCGTGAGATGAACGTGCTTTCTGAGAATCGTCGACAAGGCTCACCAGATAACCCTCGCAGTTGCCTCGTCGCAACAACTTAGTGGCTTTCGCCATCGAAACAACATGAGGCAAGGAACGATTTCTGGAGCCGAAGAAAGTAATCAGCTCGTCTCCCGGAAGATAAAGCGTAATTTCCTGGTCATGGCATCTGATATCCGCATGATAAAAAGATAGCTAATCCATTCCGAGAATAAGGTCGAAATCCTTCATCTCGAGAACAAACGCATCGGTAGACAAAACTCGGGCACCGATGGAAAGGCTAAGATCTGAAGCTTTAGCTGAGGTCACTATCTTTCATCCTGAGGCCAAACTCACCTCAAGAGGATCGATAGCGGTGGTAGCGCGAACTCCGATGGCGTTAAGACATCGTCGTGAAATGAAAGTATGTGTCGCTCCAATATCGAATAAAGCAAACACAGGAACATTATTAAGAACAACCATTCCGGACATGGTACCTGGCTGCTGTTCGGCCTCTGCCTGATCGACGGCGTAAACTCGGGCCTGCTGTCTGCCCCTCTGCTGCTGCTGCTGAGGCTGCCTCTGTGCCTGTTGACGGGGCTGCTGCTGCTGCGGTGGCTGCTGAGGCTGCTGCGCCTTCTTCGGACAACGGTTCGCCGGGCTCGTGACAATAGTAGCACACATCCTGACCAAAGCGACACTCGCCTCGGTGAAGTCGTCCGCAAGTCGGGCACTGTGGGATCTGCTGTAGCCTACGTCGGGTCCTCTTATCTGCCGGGGCACCTTTCCCCTTCCTCTTGTTGTTCTTTGGTGGCTGGGTAGATGATAGAGCTGGCAACGGTGGAACTGAAGATGACTGAGCAGGGGCGGATGGCTGGAACTGATCACGGACGGCCTCCCTCCTAATGCTGGCGTCCACCTCCTGGCAATAGAGACTGCACATGCGTACTTCTGTGTCCCGTGGCCTACGATGTTATGACGGACTGCTGGGTAAAGCCCGTCAATGAAACGCTGCGCTCGCTGGGCCTCCGTGCGGACCAAATCAGGAACAAAAGCTGCAAGTCTCGTGAAT